ACATACTGCTTAGTTAGAACCACAACAGCCTCAGATCAGAGACTAAATGACTGTACAGTATGGGGCAAGAGCAGAAGGAAGTATTGAAATGACAGTAAAATTAAAACTTATGTGGTGAGAAGAATTTTAGTTTCACTGGCTAAGGTAAGGGAAAGTAGATTTCACTAATATTGTCTTTTCAAGTACGTATTCACTGACGTAGTTTTGAAATACAGTATACGATGCATGTTTGGTGCATTAGGCATTCTACTGGCAATCTGAAAAATCCATAATAGATGAAGAATGGCACAGAGAGATCTATTTGTTGCCAAGGCACAATTCATGGAGTGTAAAATTGTCCTTGTCACCTTGTTTCACAACACATGAGGAGTGTCTATTTTTTCTTAAAACAACAACAACAACACACTGTATCTGTGAGCTTGGTTTTACAACGATCACATTCTCAACCAGGGTTTCTCTGACCTTCCACCCCTTCAGTGCCCCCTAGAGACAGCTGTGAATGACTGAAATCCAATAGCTACAAAATGGCAGCCAACAGAGGCAAGTTTGGTATTATTAGCTGGCAGTCATTCATGTGCATTTATACTTCTACTTATTCTCTCTTAGGAAATGGCATATTTCTTTGCCACAGTGATTTCACTGTAGCAACGGGTTCTATTATTCAATCTTCCTTAAGTGAGACAAAGGCACCGATGACAGAAATGTCATGAACATTTTCCTTGTTCACTCAGTCTCTAAACTACCAGGAAATCACAACTGTTGTATACCTTACTCTTAATGAACATGTCCTTAAGGTAGGTACGGAATGGTATAGTATTCTTACCCCATGGTGAGTTTAAGCTTCACTGATGCATTGTTGTGACTCTGCAGAGATGGCACAAAGGCATTCTGCCCATCTATGCCTGGAGGGGGAGGTTTGTTTGAAGTGTTGCATGAGCATTCAAACATAAAATAATTCTGTCTGAATTACAAAATGTTTGTCTTCTTCTTGAGATGTGCAACAAAGTCTTTATCCAGTTATACTGATAACTGAATAAAAACATTTAAGGTGAATAAAAAGCAGGTAAACAATCCAGTGCAACAAGAACAGCATAAATAAGTTAAAATATACAACTGTAATCCTTGCCCTTTGTTTTAGTATGTGTTTGCTTGCTTGTTTGTTTAGTGTATTTGTATACCACCTAATTAGTGGCAATCACTACTCCAGGAACTTTATTTCCCTTCCCTTCCAGTCATTTCTCTTTCCCCCAGGTGGCTCATGATTTCAGATTTCTTCTGTCTCTGGATCTATTACATCTAGTCTACACCTTCTTCTGTTTCTTCAGTAAGTAGCCACATTCATTCCCTATCAAAATGGTGTTGTTCCTTATTTTTTCCCACATAGCTCAGCAATAGCCTTTATAAACTCCATAGACCAATATGGTCCACAGAACTGATGTTTCAGTAGCAAATGTTAGATACATCTTATATTGCTACTGGGGCAAGGAATGGCATTTCCACAACATAAGTACATCCTTTTTGTCTTGATCCCGTCTACTGCTTTTTCTAAAGAAGGTGTTAGAGGTGGCCTGCATGCAAATATACTTGGGATTTCAGCAGGCAATACTCTGGCTGACCTGTGCAGTCGCCTTAGTTACCTTAGGGCGAATGGCTTTAATGTATACTACAGTATAAGAATAAAAATAAAACTGAAGTTGCATTATTTTGCATAGAACCAAAATAAAAGTACAAAGTAAAAACCCACTTCAGAAAGGCAGCCCCTAAAAATGTTCACGGGAAAATAAAGGCCAAAAGGCAGGTGATAAAGGGAATAGGTGAACGTCCTCAGTTAGACATTCTACTGCCCATCTGGCTGCATATGGTCTTAGGACATAAATCCCTAGCTTTATATCTCTGGCTGGCCCATTCCCTACCTGGTGTTGGGAGGCTAGGGCTCTGACAGCTCAACTGCAATACCAACTTCTGCAGGAGGCTGCTTCTACTGAACCAGAACACGGATACACTGAGCACGCCATTATCTACACCACCTGATGGTATCTCCGGGGTGTGTGTGTTTCAGACTGGACTTCTTCTATTACTACCTGTAGACACAGAGATTAGCACTGCCACCTACTGCATATCAAACTTGTGCTCTACCGTATAGTTATGAGACCATCTAGCCAGAAGTCAGATAGTCTCATAGAACTACATATAAATGCTAGTTGCCTGTTTCTGTAAAGCAGACCAAAGAGCCAACAGGATGTTCTGCTTAGGGAACCTACACACCATGTGCTTCATCCACCATTGCTTCTATCTGCTGGAAGGTATCATGGGACACTGCCTTCAGAGGAAGCTCTTTCTGCATAGATTCTATTTGAAGCTACCTTGGCGGCCATTTCCAAAGTGAGGGTTATGTTGAGTCAACGCCATGTACTGATGATTTGCAACACTGCAGTGGGACATAGTGCAGCTGGTCTGCCTTCCTCTGAAAGGTTTGTTTGGTGCTCTGACATATTTTTGGATCAGATAATAAACTCTTCACTAAGACTGAATTAAAGATTGTTATAACTACAAAGAACACTTTCCAATTATAGAACAATCTTGGAGTCGCTGGGATACTTCAAATGTCATATGGTGGCACACATGCTAGAGCATGTAAATGGGACAAGGAGTCACAGCTAATCCCACTTTAAAGATGTTTGCACTAATAAAATTCAGTAAGGGAAAATGTATAATTGTCCTGAGTTTACCTGCCATTCTTAAGTGCATACACAAAATATTTCACTTGTACATGTGAACAGTGTAATACGTGACACTCTCAAAGAAAGGGTTGGTTTAAACTCTTGCCAGAAATACCAGAAGTGTGAATGACATATGTCCTTATACAAAATATTCTGGAGCTTTGATCCAGTGCAGTTTTCATTCTATAAATTCTTTCTGGGTTAGACTTATTTGAGCAGCTGTGAATAGACACAACACACTGTCTCTTTTTCTTTCTCTTGCTCCCACAAACATTTACACATATACAACGAATAGCAAGTGGGCCACAAAGCACTCAGTCTTGTCTAAAGTAGCAGCACACCCATACACAAAAAAGTCCATGTGTTATAAGACGTTCTGTAGCATTTTCCCTTTTACAAATGCTTTACATTTCTTGAGTTATTTACACTGATAACGTGCTTGCAAGGCTAAGACATTTGACTAAAGCCACTCCATTATTTTTATGGCCAAACAAGAACAGTGGTGCCTCGTATTACGTTAATTCGTTCCGCGAAATTTCTGTAGAACGAAAACGTCGTAATGCGAAAATAAAAAGCCCATTGAAACGCATTGAAACCCCTTCAATGCATTCCAATGGGCTGGAAACTCACTGTCCAGCGAAGCTCCTCCACAGGGCAGCCATTTTCGGTGCCTGTGCAGCGAGGAATCCATCCCAGAAAACAGTGGGGAGCTATTTTATTTACCCCGTGGCCATTTTGAAACCATTTTGAAACGATCAGCTGGAGGAAAATCGTCATTTTGCAAAGAATCGGTTCCCGAAGCAGAGAACCAATCATTGCAAAGTGAAAAAAAAAACCCTATTCAGACCAGCGTTTTGTGGTTTCGTAATTGTAATACTGTTTCATCGTAATGCGGGGCAATCGTAAAGTGAGGCACCACTGAATTTGCATTTTGGTCTTCCATGTCCAGACATCAGCTGCACCGTACTGCGAGGGTTACAGAAGCACAATGACTTGGCTGCACCACTCATTACAGTATTTCTTGCGTTCATGTTTATTAATCAATAGAGAGATTTCTCTGGATAAATACTAAAAAAATCTGTGACAGCAATGTTTATGCATAAAAGTGCATCAAGGATGGCTATAAATTACTGTTCTTTTGGTTAACAAGAAAGCTCAAATCCTTTCCTAACCATTTGAATTTTAAAACATACAGTGCCTTGAAATAACACACACACACCCCTTTGCATAAAACATGATGGTTGTGTATTTCATAATGTACTGGGTACTTCTAAAAGACTTAGTTCCATTTGGGCCCTCTAGTTTGCAGTCCATTTGGCCACTGTGTCTCATGAGAAAAATTGTGCTCATGTACATAGGCCTAAGGACAAATTTGCACATGTTGCGATTTGTATGAAAGGTTCATTTGAGTGTAAACTCAGCTTTATTTTATCATTTTATTTATTTGGTTTATATTTCACTTTCTTTCTGGGAACCAGCCTACAAGAAAATTAAAAACAGTCGTAATGCGAAATGAAAGATTTTTTTTTTTAACTCCCAAGAAAGTAGACATGGTCTAGAGGGGCGGGGTAAAAATCAAATAAATAAATAAATAAATAAAATAAATAAAACCTGCAGGAAATTTTATAGAATTTCTTAGAAATTTTCTAGTCATTTTTTTCCCTGGAAGAAACACCAAACTGCACAGCATTATTATAATTCCTGTACAGAATAGTTTCTTTCCTCTGCAGGATTCACCTGCAAAGAACTGAAGAAACACCAAGCTGCAGAAATTTCTTAAAATTTCTGCACGGTTATCTTTCCTGCATGGGTTTCACCAGAATGGACATTAAGCTGCATAGAACTTGGAAGTTTCCAGCAAAACAGGTAAATATAGCAGGGAAAGGACAAGATTGGGATCTCATTTTTGTGGGAACCCAGGAAATGTCACCGATGGAGGAAGGAAGTCTTGGAATAGTGACACTCAGAAAAATATTGAGAAAAATAAAAATGTTAAGTATTCATCACATCCCTAGAATAGATCACAACATTCTATCTATGCTAGAAAAATAAAATCATAATACGACAAAACAGGAAGACATAAACACATCACAAGAGCACTATCAAATCGTATATACTATAGTAAATAAGAACTACCAAAGTCTTCCCAAAATAAAGTACACAATCCACTTAAATTTAAGCAAAATAAGCAAATAAACTTTCAAGCAGTGAAAAGGGGACAGGGACCTTTCGTCAGGGTACAGTGAAGAGAAAAGACTGGCCTGTACGGACAAAACTAACCTAGCACTGAAATGCAAAGACTACTTCATGGGCCTCTGATTTCCATCAAAGAGCTCATGTGTCACAAGAGAGAGGATGATAGTCTGTGTTCACTGTGAAGGACATCTGTTATCTAAAATGGGGCGGGGACATAAAGTTTATTCTCATTGAATCTACTGGCTAGCCCAGCTGAAACCTACCATCATTGTCTCTTTTTGTCTGGCTTATAGAGGTATGAACCCAACATGAAGTCTGGAATTTGTTTTGTCCCAGCATGGTTATTGCTGCTAGAACGAATCCTGTATAGAAGGAAGCATTGTTTGGTGTTAGGACAATGGGTGATTTTCTCTCCCTCACCTGAAAGATCCATCCAAAGTTTTTTCTGACAACTTCGGCCGAGGACAGTGAATTTCAAACTACCTTGCGATGTTCTGGATGAAGTCTTGATTTATACAACAATACAGCCACAACAAAAGCCATGTAAGTATAAAAGAGGGACTGTACCCTGTTTTGATTTTGGCATGACAAGCTCCTTCTGAAATCTGCTATCTTAGGCATTGCTCTCATGTAAAGTACTACACACAAATCTGACTTGCAAACTATTGCAGATGAATTAAGACAGTTGCTTCTGCCTCAGGTGCACTACTATCTGCACAGTCATTGTCATCAAAATCTGTCATATGACTGGCTTTGCAAACATTTCAGAAATCTAAAAAAAGTTGTCTTTCCAAAAATCTTAATGGCGGTGGACACCACTGTTGGTGGCTGAACTTTTGTCGGCAAGTTTTATTCATTTGTTGCATGTATATATCCTGCCTGTCCTTCAGTGAGTTCCAAGTGGGGCCCATGGTTCTCCTCCTCCTCTCACTCTATCCTTGCAACAACCATTTAAGGTAGATCAGGATGAAAGATTGTGATTGGCTGCGAGTGGATGCAGAAGCACCACCCCTAGTGAGCCATCTGGCCACAACACACAAGTATCAGGCGGTTAGGAAGTGGGTAAGTTTTCTCAAAATCAGGCTGAACACAATTCCATCATGAGAAACATCTGGAGGAAGCAGGGTCAAGGAGAATAAAAGGGCAGAACTGAGAAGGCACGGAGTCATCACCTAGATCCAAAAAAGAGGACATGTGGGAGGATGCAAAAGAGTAGAAAATTGGAAGCTGTCTACCCTTGCCTGGCTTGTTTCCTTGTGACAGGAGTCAGGCACCAGAGACCCCAGCCGCCTGGACGTTGCCACAGTCCAGGAGAGGCAAGTGACAGGTAGAGATGAGCTGCAGTAGCCTGACTTCTTTTGCTCATCTATAAAAACCTTTCCTAAAAGGGATGCTTCCTGGACCCAAGCTCTTCTCTCCTTCCTCCTTTCCAGAACCTGGACTCCGAGGAAGTTCCAGTGAATTTAACTGGGTCCCCAAGTTGGCAAGCAGCACCCAAAGGTTTAGAGACCATAATTAAGCCTTATGAAACTGTGGAGGTGGGGGGAGGGAAGGAAGGGAGAGGGAAGTGATGCTCTGCCACTAACAAAAGCTATTCTGAGCCAAGAAGCTGAGCTGGAGCTCATGAGATTATTGCTGGGAGACCCTGGTCTCACCAGCACTGCAGGTGGTGATGTCGGTGGGGAGTACATTGGCCCAGGGTCACCCAGTGTTTCATGGTCTAGAGAGGATTTGAACTCAAATCTCCTTGGTCACAGTCCAATACAATAACCGCTATTCCACCCTGACTCCCTCTTGCCAAACTGTGAGAAAGCATGTTTCAGATGATATAATCTGCAGCCCATTGCTTAGAAGATCAGACAGTATAACCTTTGTGGAACAATATAGTTTTTTTTTAAAAAAAAAAATACCACAGCCATGTAGCATATTTCTGAGATAAATACTTAAGCTATTTATAAAGTACTTTGTGTCAAGTTCTCTGTGGTATTAAAAAAAAAGTACTTAGGAACCCTGCAAAATGACAAAATTACATTCCCTGTTCAATTTTTAAAGAGACAATAATAGTACTTCAGGATCAATTTATTCACAGTCTAATGTTATCTGGTGAATTACAGCTTTCAGGATGCTTTAACAAGCACTATATGTCTGTTTCCCCTTCCCCCCTCCACAAGTCGGAAAAATCTGCTTTCTGCAATTTTTTTTTTATAAAATAGGAACCAAAAACAGCACTCACATGTAACTTTCCCAGGATCTGTGCTGGCTAATATTCTCACGAAATGGGGAAGTGGATGAATGGCGAACTTGACAGGTTACAGCAATCCATTAAGATATGAACCCCTGAAGATTTGCTGGGCAAGCTTCCGGCACCTCAGTTTCGCTGGTGACAACCTAAAATATAACAAAACGACAACATGCCATTTTAAAAATGGGGTCTCCATTACCACTTCATTTACTTTCCTCTTCACTATGCAAAATTAAGTCTCCATTATACGTTAAATGCTGTACATTGGTCTTCTGTTTTCATTGCCTCATACATGGGTAAAGAGACATGAATTCACATGTTTTGATCTTATCAAAAGAAAAAGACTGTTTTTTTCCGAGAGGTAGCTTGTCTATACAAACCAATGGCCTTACGAATATGCAAAGAACTTAACTCTAAAAGGTGCTAAATAGGTTCTGTATAGGCACGGAATTAATATGTGGGCCTTTTGCCACCACAAAAAATGTGATCAAGTTCCCCTTCCATTTGGTATTTGTCAAAGGAATCTAGCAGTGTGATTATTTGCAAGTGTCTACTTTCGTAGCTCAGTGAGATGGAGCACCTGACCGCAGAGCCAGGGGCTGGGAGTTTGATTCTTCATTGTGCTATTCTGTGTGGCTTTGAGCAAGCTATAAAATCGCAGAGCACCCTCAGAAGACAGGAATGGCAAACCATTTCTGAGTAATGTATGCCTAGAAAACTCTGGAAGGGGTCATCCTAAATCAGATTTAATCTGAGAGCATTTAATAATTATTATTATTATACTTTGCCAATAAGTAGACTTCAGTATTTCATCTCTTACGGATTCGTACAACTGCTTCTTTCTTATGTCACTACACACAGATGTATTATACTGAAATAATACATCTTTGTTTCGTGGTGCATACTTAAAGCACAGCATGGGTGCTCTCATTCAAGTGATTTGCTAGATTTTTACCACCTGATTTTTGCCTGATGAATAGCCAACTGTTGAAGTACTACATCTGTGGCAACATGAAAGTCCTCCCTATGGTGGCTTATTTGCATATGCAAGTAATTACTTTAAGATGAAGTTGATGATATAAGCATTTGCATGAGCCAGCTCTCAACTCCTCATCTACAGATCAAAAATAACAGTGGCCAAAAAGAAAACTGCCAGAAAAGAAAACTGTTCTCCTGCCTGATTCTTTCCATCTAAATAATCAGTACTTGGCATTTTTCTGTTTTTACATTACGTTATGCTCAGTGAACTTCATTTGACTGCTTTGAGATTATCATGTAGACAAACATGAGAAACTATGGCTGAAATCCTGTTGGTTAGCATAGGCAGTCACACTAGGATTAACCCACTGAATCTCTGGGGAGCTGGTGAGTCAACTTCTCCATAAGTTCCATTGATTCAAATGAGCCTATTCTCTTTGCAACTGACTATACAGGTGTACCTCAGTTTATGAAATGAATCCGTCATCCGGGACGTTATGTACAGTAATGTGGAAATTACGTAAACCGGAATGCGGATTGCCGTAGCAATGGGGGCGGCACTAGAAACCCCCAGGCATGATGTCTCTTTTTTATACAACGAACCCCCCCCATAAAAATTGTAAACCAAGGCATTATTTCTTACAGATTTCAGTTCGTAAACTGAAAATTCTGTAAACAGAGGTATGGTAAATCACTACTAGAGCAGGTCCATTTAAATCAATAGAACTTAGGGAGGAGCTGACTCACTAAATTCCCACTGATTCAATGGGCCTACTCTATTTATGACCTAGGGTATGACTACACAGCAGAGGCAAAATGCCAACATATCTACTGTGAAGTCACACTTAGGTTTTTCTGGATTAATCTGCTTTGTCAACCACACAAGAATCAGCACAGAGAAGAGAATAAATTAGCCTTGTTTGCAATTTGTTAACCATTTGAAATCCTCTCCTCCCAACACCTGATGACTGAGTCTGCTTGTTTCCCTCTTTCCCATTCCCTTCCTCCCTTCTAATTGCTATCCAAACACTAGGAAACTAGGTGACCCAAAGGGGGAGGAGCAAGGAATTGGCAGAGAAACGGGAGGAAGTTTTCACTTTAGACTTACTTCCAGCTTGTTCTGGGGAGAAAAAGAGTGAGGATTTGGCAGAGGGAGAGGAAGACATTTTAAGGTAGCCCTGCTAGGTTTGCAGGAGGCATGGTCAGAGTAGAGCTGCCTTAAAACTTTTCCTCTCTTTCTCTCTCCCCAAGTTGTTATTACTTCTTTTTTTGCCTTCGGTCACCTAGCTGTCCTCATGTTAGGCTAGCAAGCAAGAAAAAAAACAAAAACAGAATGGGAAGGAAAGATGTAGGGAAGAGAATATTCAAATGGCACCAGGTGTGGAGAGGAGAGGAGTAAAATGGCCCTCAGTTTCCCTGCTGCTGTAGCCCACTGCTATGGGTTACAAACCCCTCCACATCAGCTCAAGAGATCTTACCACCTGAACTGAACTGCATTCATTTAAAAACAAAAACAGAGGTCCCAGTGGCAGTGGGGAAAAGTAAAAAGTCACAGGGAAAAACTCCAGGCTGGTTCATATTGAATTTACATCATGTAATCAACGAAAAATGATGCAAATCAGATTTTCCTTGTCCTTGAGCATTTCCCACATTATCTCTCAATGCAGTCACACCTTACTGCACTAAGCAACTGGACTTCAGCCTATACATCATTATAGTTTACCCATTCATTATAACATCATCAAACAGGCTAGGATCGCCAATTTGACCAATACAGTTGGGGAAAATAAGATGTAGAAAGACAAAGAAACAATGGCACAAAATTACACTGGCTTTTTCTTTCTGTGTGCAGTTGCTTTATCCTAGTGAAACTGCTATTTTTGCCTTGAAAAATATACTGGAAAGTGTTTCATACAGTCTTATGTATGAAAACATTTTTCCTGACTTTCAAAGCCAATGCATCACTAATTTACAATTACATTACAGGAAAGAAAACTGGATTTGGAAAAGAAAGCCAAGCCACAGAAGGGGGAGGAAGAAGCAGCCTGCAAGACTTATACTCAACAAATTTAAAACATGAATTCTGTCTGCATTGCTGCCCCAAACAATACTACGTAATAGAGATGGGTAAGAATCAGAAAAATTGTTATTTATTTTGATTTGTGATTCATCAAGGTCTACAAATCACAAATTATACACTTATGATTTTTTCTGACTAATCAACAAATCAATCAATAAATTTGTTTCTTACTTTAAAACCCTATAAAACAGCCTCCAAAGTACCTAGAGACACCATATTGCCAGGGAAGCTTCCCTTGACTCTCCTCTACAATCCCTTCAAGTTTGGTGGGGACTGGGTTTCAGACATCCAAGTTATACATGCACAAATTGGGTCCCCCAGGAAAGTGCCCTTTAGCAGCGGGCTTGGGAAAACCCAATCTTCACTCTGCAATATTGGTGTCTCTAGATGCCTTGGGGGCCATTTTAAAGCCAAACAAATTGACAAATAAACAATTACTAAAAATTCATTCATTTATGATTCATCAGGGGCACTGATTTCTACGAATATGAATCAATGAATTAGAAATTTCTGAATGAATCCGGTAATTCCCTTTAAAGATTTGTGCCCATCTCTACTATATAATAATGTATATGTAAAATTTAAAACATTTTTTAAGAATAATGGAAGGTGACTGTTCAGTTTGAATCACCTTGGAAAAACTGTATCACTTGTAAAGACTATATTCTGTTTCTCCCGGTCAAATTAAACTTTCAAGAAAAAAATTATTGCTCTGGAACATTCAGAAGACGTGGTTGGACAACAGGATGAATTCTGACATTCTACATTTAATAATTATGAAGTGGTTTCTCTGTGTCAGCTGCACCACTTCAAGTTTTATGTGGAAGCTTACAAGATTGAATGCTATTTCATACAAAAGAGGAGCTATGTCTTGAGCTTAACAAACTAATTACGGGCAAAGGTGTGTCTTACTTTCAACATGGTGTGTAGCAAGTAGTGACTTATTTTCTAATTCTCCAGTTGAATTTAGACTGAAAATCACTCTTCCATTGGCAATGATGAGTTCAACCTGCCAAAACTCCAAGTCAGGTGGGGTTGGGTGGGTGGAAGTAACCTTTAGCTGCAATGCAGATGGGAAGCGCAACGATAAGCCTTTTCTCACTGAACACATTGTTCATACAAGAAACTGGCCCCACCCTATACCTCATAATTAACACTCCACACTCTGCAATAAGCCCCCAGACACAGAGGAGGAGGATTCTCTCCTAACCTTCTCCCTGACGGGCTAGTTTTACATGTGTAAGAATTATTCCTCCTCCTCCACCTTTATGTGGGAGAGTATTTTGTAAGGTGAAGCAGTCTGGCGGTGCAATCCAGACATAGATTTAGCACCTCAGTGAGAATGTGGCCTCCAGTGTTCTTGGAAGGTGTGATTGATGTTCACTGCTGTAAAAGCATAGGGCTGCATCCCAAACATGGCATTCCCTTTCTCCAAATGTCTCTGCCTGTGTTCCCTAGATAGTCTTACGCTACAGTGAGTAAGCCAAAGTGTATCAGGTTTAACACATGATCTATAAAATGAAGGCAAGAATTTCTCTGCTCAGAGGGTCAAACTAGGGTAAATTGTAACCTAACCTTGTCCTAATGCATTGCTAAACATCTGTGTCTCATCCAAGTCCACCCCATGCTTCTATTTTAGACACCCATTCTTATACTGAAATGTGGGAATGACTAATAGAAAATTATTTCCTTACACTAAAACAAGCATTCAAAGGGAGAACATATTTATGTTCTCTGACTTGTCATTTAATACAACATACTCAAGTAGATAAGAATCCTTTGTGCTATTAGTTTCATGCTGCAATCCACACAATGGAATGCAACTGCAGTTGTAAGTCATATGACACAAGTACTATGTGAACAAATCAATACACAGATAGAATATCTTACCCAAACCTCCAAAAGAAATGCACACATGTACTTATGTGGCTTGCTTAAATACAGACAAACAGTATGGTTAGCAAAGACATAAGTTGATGTGTTTGTCCCATCTTGCAAGCTGTTCTATCACAAGAAGCAGTTGGTTTTAGTGGGGGAAACTGTGAAAGAACAAGGATGATTGCTTAGAACTGTACTAGAATAAAGCTT